AGACCAAATCTCCTCATCTCTGAATTTCAGCTGGTGATATTCACACGGGTACCAAAGGTGAGCTGCACTGAGAGCCACAACTAGCCATTTTTTTCAACTCTGCAGTGTATTTGGTAAGGCAAAAGAAACACCTGTTCCTGTGGAGAACAAGGAAGATCTAGGCCTATTTGTAATCAAGGCTGTCTGCATCTCTCTCAGGAAAAGTAAGGTCTGATGTCCTTTGGGAAGCATTTGCAAGGCCTTTTCTCAACAAACCTTCTCTCACCACAGACAGATGCCATCTGTCTTGCAGCTGGGAGCTAATGGATTCTGCACTGCCAATTTCACAGCAGTGAGCAACGCTGTGATAGAGGAGGCATGAGGGATTTCCTACAATAAAACTATTTAAAACAAGTGCAAAAGCACATGCTGAACCAGTCCTGATGAGCAAAGGAGATGGCAATATCGAGGGCTGATGGTCCAAGCCGGCAGGGATTTCACAGCTCAGTATGTCTTATGTATCTCCAACGCCAGGATTTTAGGCTTTTGGAGAACTGTCTCACTACACTGGTTTCCTGCTCCAGGATGGGCTGTGGAGCTCTAGAGTGTATTCAATGTCACAGTACAGCTTAACATGTGCTAAACCCACCCATGGGGTGGTTTTCTAGTGTGTGAAGAGGAGCTCTCTGCACATGTTGCCACAGTCTTGGCTCTGGTATTGATCTCTCCTCTGTGTGTGTGTGTGCATGTGACCAAACCAGGAGTTGGCTCATGACACACAGAATGAATGGAGAAAGGGAAATAAGACACCTTGCTAATTTTTTGACATGTACATTTGAAATTTCTTTAAAACATGCAGCAGGTTCCTAACGTGCTGCACTAAAGCCGACCTACCGATGACACCTTCGCTAAGAAGCAACGCGAGAGTCTTCAGGTATATTATACTCTGCTAACTTTCCAAAAACTACTTCAGGACTTTCTGATTAAATTTACATAAAATGCATCCTTCCCTCTTATTTCCTGTTACTCACTTAGATTATTTCTAGTATTCTTGTGGCTGAGATCACCAGCGCTCGGATGTGAGGGCGCACGCTGTGCCTGTAACATGCAATCAAGGGGGTTTGTAAGAGCACCAAGATCCTGTCTCAGTCATCCTCAGTGGATTTTCATGCTGGTGTAATGAGAATGAACAAGTTGTTTAACATAAGAGATCTAATGGGGAAATACCACATTTTTCAGTTCCAAGTTAAATGAAGGCAAGGTGGAAAAATGAGCATCTACGAAGTTCAGGACAGGAGGCTCCTAAGAGCTCTATAAAGATCCTGGAGATGAACTGGAAGTTTGGAGCCCCCATGAAGGTGAATATGGTTGCAGTGGTTGATAGAAGAGCCCATTACCTAAAGCATGGCATGACCACAGACCAGTCCTGCACAAGACTGCTTTTTTAAAAACAAATTATTTTCATGCAGCCCATCAAGATGGACCAAGACTTGCCTTGAAAACTGATTCAAGATTCCCACTAGAAGCGGTTAGAGACTTGCACATGGATGCAAAACTGAGATTCTTTTTGAAGTTCAAAAGACGATGAAATACAAGACAAGCTAATAGATAATTAGATAATAGATAATTAAAAATTAGCTATGCATGTAGCTAAAAAGGATGAGTCAGTGAGAAAATAGACGGTGCTCAGCAAGGGGGCAACTATTTAATATATTATCTTAGTTGATCAGTGTGCCTGCATGAGTCATTTGCTTGGAGAAGGAGGGGGATTTCACATTGTTTTTGTATTTTTAATAGGCATTTTCATGGACCTCATAGTTATAATAATGAGAGTACCTGACAATTAGTAATGAAATTATCCTCACTACAGAGAAATATTTCACAGCATGTACAATATTATTCCTAATACAAAGGTGGAAGTGAAGCACAAGGAGATTAAACAGAAGACCTTCATGAATGTTTGCAAAATAAATAAGCATATATCAATAAAATTTGATAACTGTTTTCTCAGCTAAAAGACAAAAGCAAAATTTGCAAAACATTTTTTTTACTAATAGAAAATATTTTTAGCTTATAAATATCAGATGTTTATTTAAACTCTTCGAAGAGTAACTAAATCTTTTCAGCAGCCAAAACTAATTAGAAATTCCTATTATTATTTTTTTAGCTATCATTTTTCTGACATACACTTCCTAGTTAGTGTGGTTGATGTATATGAACAGACACGGATGTTCCTTTGAAAGAAAAAACCCTGTAATTAACAGGGTTTTTTTTTTTTGGCAGGGATAATGTTCCTTTTTTCTTTTTTTTTTCCCTAAAAACTTTTCATTTAACGTATTTTATCAGAATGAAATGGTTTAATGAGCAGAGAATTATAGTTGATCCCAGCTGAACCAGATAGGGCTGCCTTTCGAGGTATGTGGCTCCCATCAAGCTGCATTCACCTTTGCTATGATTTAAACTTCATTCAGGCACAGCCTTGCTAAAAATACTGACAAGTAACTAATCAACTTCCATAAAATGGAATTTTTACCTTCACAATAGGAAGCAGGAGTAGGAGGGAACCTGAAAGATTTGCCTATGCATTTCAAATTAGTCTGACCTATAAAAACGCAAACAGCAAGTGGTACTATGACAATGTACTTCTGGTAGGGTTTTTTTATTTTTTAGTGTTCAGATTTTTCATGCCATCCCTTCCTCTCCTTGGAGGAAGCCAGAACCAAAGATAGCACTATAGAGGGACTGGTTTCCATTAGTTATACCTAAAAAAATGTAAGCTCAGGCAGGGCTTTCTGGACCAAAAAAAAGGTCAGTGTCCAAGAACCTGCTGGTTCCAGGTTTGAGTGTTTTATATAAAGCAGCAGATAAAACTGTGACAGACCTGCTTCTGTACAAATGGGATCTGAGCTGCAACTTCACATGTGCACTTCTGGTTCCAGTTTGTGAGCAGATGGACACAAAAATATTCAGCGCCCAGTGAGCAAAAGCATAGGAAATCAGATCAAAACTGTTACCTAGATCTACGAGACAGCAGAATGCTCCAGGGCAATCTGAAGATTATGTGGATGGAAATAATCAGATAGTGCTGGTCTTTGAAGACGTTGATTTGTCCTATTCTGGATAATTAAAGACACAGGGGAAGCTGTAACTCCTGCTAGGAATCACCCAAGCTTCATGTTCAGGCGCTGGCAAACGGGCCAGATGCTGCAGATGAGCAGAAACTCAACCCGAGCCTAAAACATCAGGGGTCTCACGCTTAATCAAGTTGCACTCTTTGTATGATCTTCCCTGTCATTACGATGCTTTCTGTATGTCAGGTGAAAAGGAAAGCAGCCCTTTGCAAGCCAACTCTTTTTTTTTTTTTTTCTCCACCCCACTTTTACTTCATTTTCAGTGTTTCCTCCAGCTTCTGTTTTCAAAAACTGCAATGGAATATATTGCTGAAAATCTGGGAGCTCTGTGTTTCCATCAGCCAGGTTATCTTTCCAAGGTTACTCGTAGTTTAAGTCATGAATATAAATTCTTCTGTAGCTATATAAAATTTATTATTTGCCATTTTTATTAATACTGGAATTTTGCATACTCGAGTCCTTCTGTTTCATCTCCAGACTGTAGGGGGAAAAGTGCCACAGAGATTTCAGTCCTTATAAATCAACAAATTTGCCATGGTAAGCCAGTGCCAAGTTGTCCTCTCTCTGTCTAGTCAAAGCTCAAGAGAAATCAGCAGGGAATGGGACAGGGCCCAAGTTCATTTTTCAAGTACTCCCCTTATTTTTCACAGGAATTCAGGATTTAATCTAAATTTTTAATGTGATTTAGGAAGATATTTTTGACATATCAGTTTATTTTCCTTTTCAGATATTTCTTCTGCTTAGTAAGACAACACATTAATGGGTCACTCCATACCCAACACTGCTGACCACACAAAGACTCCTTGGCTTCCCTCCCTGTTTTTCTAGGACAGACATAAAAACATTTATCACCTGCTACTTTTGATTCCTTTTTGTACAAAGAAATGACACCAACAAGCCGAGTTTATCCAATACTTGGTGAACTGGGAACATGCACCTTCAGTCATTGCATGAGTCACTGCAAAGTTCACCTGAACTTCCAAAGGACTCAGCAAGTACCTTCCTCCCTCCAAGACATGGGCTGTAATGATGCAACTCGGGAATCCAGGCCCTGTTTCAAGATGACTAGATGAACTTCCTGAGAAGGGATGCCAAGGACACACCACTGCTGCTCAAAATAACTTCAGAAATTTTATAATTGTCGTCATTTTCTTCCAAGGGAAGAACTGAAAGAGTCTGCCAAGGAATTTTTTTTTTTTTAACAGCTAATCACTCCACTGCTCCAAAAACTGAAACCAGCACCCACAAGAGGAATAGCAACATGTATTTGTATTTTGCTAACACTTACCAACAGCAATAACATATCAACCAAATGTCTCTGTAAAACACTCCTTTTCCCTTCTTTTTCTTTTCCTGTCATCCCATAATCATCACAGAAAACCCACATGGGTAAACCTGATCTCAGAGATTATCCTTGTGAAGAAAGAAACCAGAAACACAGGGAGGATGCAGGATCCATCTGCAGTGGGGGCAGGCAGCCAACCTCCTCCAGGCCACCACACATCTGCACCCGGCATCGGAAGGGAAGGACACAGCACCCCTCGTCGCTGGGTGCCACCAACCCAGCCTGACACCTGCAGCCGTTTTCTGGATGAGAGAGTGGGCAAAGGGCCACCTTGGCAGCAATGCCAGTCTCTTGAGGGACTGGCTGGAAGGAGGTGATTAGGCTGCCGTCAGCTGGGGAGGGAAACTGGGGCAAGGTTCTTCAGAAAAGATGGGTTTCAGCAGCATGTAAAAGGCAACTGTTCTTGCACGAGGGAGGAAGAGCAGAGAGCCCGTGCTTCGAGCCAGACGTCCCACTCCAGAAACCTGGACCACTCCTACTGCTTCACCAGACCCACTACAAGATGACCATTATTATTACTCTTTCTGTTTCTTATTTTAACTCACCCGAACCAGCTGCTGTGGAAAGGGTCCTCTGGAGTTTTCTGGCACGTTGATGGGCGGGATGACCCAGTCCCTCTTCTGCCTCCGCAGGCCGTTGGCGCTCTGATGCTGCCGCCACGGGAGCAGAGTGTCACTCTGCTGCTGCACCAGGTCTCCAGGCAGTGTCTTCCTGCCTTTTGGCTGTTTTGGAAACAAGAATGCAAAACCAGTTAAGCCTCTTCCTCACTTCTTAGGACTTGTCCCGACAGCGGTGCTTCCTGCGTGCAAACGGCCACACGGAACAAAGCACAATATGCTTTGCTGGCAGCTCTGCTGCCACTTCATTTTCACAAATATATGGAGCTGTCACTCTCAAATCAAGATGCCTCCCAGAATGTATCATCTTCATTACACCAGCTGCAGGGAGATTTAGCAGAACACTGGAGTAAAGAAGTTTCTGCAAATTTCTAATAAATACAACCTACCAGAACACACAAAAAAAGGGAGAGGATCCCTTTACAGTCCATGTCATGAGTCCAGCTTTATAGTCTGGCACTGAGCACAAGCGAGGCTACAATAACCTGCAATCTGTGGCTCTGCAGACGTATTCTGCAATCCAACCAAACCCCAACCAGAGGGAGAGTCAGACCCATGGCTGCAAAGGTGCATTAGTTCAGATTCTTAGCGCTTCATGACACGTTTTGTAAGGGCTGGGTTTTGAACATAAATCCCAAATACACATCTCCCCACACTGCCTGCAAACTGGAACACATTTCAGGCAGTAAATTTTCATTATTTGGGATGCCTTTGAGTCCTCCTTTGTGATTTTTTTTTCAATTATGGATTCTGCCCATGGTATACTTTGGCACTGGAAATGTTACAATGCTGTGGCATAAAAATGGAAATGCTGAGACCCTGGTTTGGACTTAGAGAGACTGCCTTGTTACTAGAAAAATTTCTGCCCTACAGAACGATGAATCAATGAAATGTAGATTTGGAAAGGCTCTTCAGAGGATATGCAGTCCCAATACTTAAATACTCTATGGCCTTCTAGGATTTCAGCAATTACTTGTGGAAAGTCTGCAGAAAAGATAACTAGCAAAGCTCTTGTTACCATATGGTGACCTGCACTCCCACCAGAAAATGTTTAAACTTTCATAAATCACAAAGACTGCAAATCACATTCTCTTCATTTGAGGTAAGATCCAGTGGGAATATTGTTCTCTGAATTTTACAATTTTCAGTTCTTTTTCTCAAAAAAACCCCACAAACCCAAAATCCCATGCCCCCAAACACAAGAACAGTGTGGGAAAACCTATCAAAGTATTTTCTGAGGCTCCTGCCATTTTAAGCCACACTCACTTCTTGTCTCACTCCAAACACACAAACTCAAACACCCTACAAACAGTTATCTGTAGGCACTGATTTCGGTGGGAATCGTTGCTTTGGGGCTTAGAGTTTGGTGTAAATCCATCTATTAGCGCATTTCAATTCCTGATCTGGAAGTGCAATTCACCTCAAGACTATATAGGTATATGAAAACTAAACAGCATATGAAAGGTAAACAGTTTCTGAACTGAGAGGTGGCTCCAAAGCTGTGTGGCCCTTCTGGACACTGCGAGCTGGGCACAGCAGCCAGCAGCCCATTGTCACAGCTTGATTGTGGCTCTGATCTCTGTTACCTGTGGAGGGCAGACATCCACTGGCTGCAAGGACTGGAAGCATTTGTGCAAAAACGCAGCTATTTTTATGCAGTCCTTAAAAATGAGCCCATTCCAGAGCTGAATTTTCACAGAACAGATAAATAGGGTCTTTTCAGTCACACACAGGCACGTTTCTCAGGTCCTCTCTCACACTCATGCCACCAAGGTGACTGCGGGGTTTTCTTCACCTAAGTGTTGTTTATACTCTTTCAACAAGCATTGTCACTAAGCTGCTGCAAAATCACAGAACCACGGCTCAATATTTAGAAGTTGTTCTAAAAATACTCACTTAAGTGTGTAACAAACAAAGAAACAGAGTCACGATGCAGCAGTGGGAGACTTTCTTGGGAAAGTCAGGATACTTGTAGGCACTGCTGACCTCCTCCTTCCTAGGGGATGCAATATGTTATATGTGATAGAGTTTTCATCTAAAGAGGGTGTTATTACCAGAAAGGTATCTGATGAAAACAATGTTATCTAAAGAAGACACACAGAAATGCACGTCAACATGAAACAGGACTGTGAGATGTGAGTCACAGAAAAGTGGATATCCCCTATTTTTTTAATTGGCTTGTGATTCCCAAATGAGGATCCTTTGAGAGCAGGTATTTGGATCAGTTTATATAATTGGCAAGTGAGCATTGGGACAGATTATGAAAGGATGGTCAAATAATTTGTGCTCTGCTGAGTTTACACAGTGGAATGAGTCTGAACTAAAGACAGACTTGAGAATTAACATGAATCCCAAAGCTCCATGTATACTGAAATAATTAGTGTCAGCTCAGCAAGGAAATACCAGCCTTTTTAGTCTGTATGAAATACTTGCTGGCAGGTGACTAGACAGTGACTAGCTTGCTTGTCACTCTTGATGATGTTTTCCTACATTAGAATAAATCATCAACATGACTCTGAATTTGATATGTAGAATTCAAAAGCATCTTGCAACAACAATTTTTTTTTTAAAACAACAGCTCTTTTTTATCTTCATTTGTTGACAATGCATTCTCATGACCCTAATTTCTCTGGTGTTGTTTAAATACGTTGTACATGTTTTCTGCTGTTTAAAAGCTGTGAGACAAATGCAGTAACAAAGTCTGGTAAGTATAAATGCCAGAACTATTCAGATCTTTGACTGAAACATCCAAGAACATCTCTGGAATAACAGCATCGACTAACAGCGAGCCCCAGAAAACTCTCCTGTGTTTTCAAGTTTACAAGAATATAAAGTTCAACTCAAAAGCACAATGTGACACCAAATTCAATTAATTCTAAAATACAGCTTCCAATCCTGGTTTTGCTGAATAACAGTGTTCACTGAGATAACAACTGCTCCTTCTCTCATGGCCTCACAGGCCATATGCTTTCTGGAATTTCAAGACATTTTGAAAAGATAAAATATTATCGCTACCTTTTGCAGTGTCACCAGAACACAGTCTGCCCATACTCCTTCCCATAATCAAGTTGAGAACCTCTAGTGCTGCTGCTTTAGGGTGGTTTCCCTCCTGTTGTGTTTGTGAGGTGCCATCCCCTTCCTACATATGACACAAGGGGGATGGGCATGTGCAGTCTGAGAGGGTCATCCATGGAACATGCGCCCAGTGGAAAGTGAAGTCCACTCTCCATTCCAAACATTACATGGTGACATTTATAATCTGTTAGAACAGGATCAAACACCAAACATGGAACATGTGAGCGTGGTCTCTGGTGATACGTAGATAATTAAAGGGGGATACAAAATAGTCAGGCAATTCAGTAATTATGCCTGTCTATCACTTTAGGACACTGATAAACTAGAGAAACACAGCGGAGCCATAACAGATGAAAACCTTTAAGATCAAGGAGAAAAAGTAATTAAAAAGTGTGGGATGAAGAAAAACAACAGGAGAAAAGCCCATGCTGGGATATAAACTTGTTAGGAGAATTTGGATTCAGTGGGATCTAATGCCTTAGTGTTCATACTGGGGCAGAATCTTTCAGAGCTTGCCAAGGATGAGATGCAATGTGTGCTGGGCTGGCTGTATTATTTAAAGTCCACATTCTGCAAGCAATCTGCAAGAAGAGGAAATTTCTTCTCACAGGCTGCTCCACAGAAGGTGTAGGGGTGTCCTGAAGTCCACCTCAGTAACTTCAGTGCCATCTCACAGGAGTCATTTCCAGTCCCTTTTCAGTCTAGCATTAACTTTAACAACGGTGAATACAACCTGCTATGTTCGGAAGAGGACACAGAGCTAAACCCCTAAGGGGCTGTCAGACTTCAACCAGATTTAGGAAACCTTCCTCCAAACTGGTGGGATTGTAGGTGTGCTTCAACTAATTCCACTTACACCACGATTCTTGAGAGCTCAGGAACATTCCCTGTCTGCACTTGGCACTGGCAATAAAGGCTAAGTCAGAATTGCCACCTGGGCAGTCTATAAGCTCCTGTCAGTGTTGGTCTGTGGCTCGTCAGCCTTTCATTTGTTGGGAGACTCAGACTAAACTCAACCTCTGCTCACAAAAGAGGTCAAAAAATAATTCCCTGACAGAACAAGACACATGGGATCCCTACAGCCCCTCAAGCCCCGTCCTGCTCGTGACAAGAAGGCTGCGAGCCACTGACTTTTTACTAGTCCACAAATAAAACCAGTGAGTGTGAAGGAGCACCAGCTTTCACCTTCCGCTACACTTAGCAGTAGCCAGTCTCGCCAGCTGGCTCGTCTCCCCTCCCAGCCAACCTGCCTTTGATATCCGTCAGCCTCTGGCTACGGAGACATCTGGAAGTTATTATCCAGCAGAGCGTATCACAAACCCATTTACATAATATAATATCATATTTTGTGTTCCTGCTTAGCTGAACATTTTGGATCACTTGAATGTTTGGGTAAATAAGCCACCATTCCCTGCATATAAATAACAGTGAGTCTTAGGGTACGTTTGTTGGAGATTATTCATTTTATAGGGCTCAACCTGCAAAATGAAATGCTCTGGATTCAGCACTAAAATATAATATTCTTGCAATTGCAATAAAAAGTATCTGCAATTGGAGGAGAGGAAATAAGGCCTTTATTTACCAAGTATCAAAATTATTTATGATTTAACCTGTTTTATTTATATGCCAGTCTTAATATTTTCATAGGATCTTTAACACTTCACACTAGACATTTTTCACAAAAGAAATAGTACTTGGCTTGCTTTGTTTCTAGTGTCACTCCTAGGGTTTAACTATGGTAACGTGTTTTTAATATATTTTTATCAATACAAGGGGATACAAAGCCACCTTTAGTCCATTGCTCAAACATATTTCCCTTCAGCTCCTATATCAATATACATTTTGAAAACTGGTACTATTTTCCATCAGGGAAAAAAATCTATTTAAAAATATTTAATCTGAAGCATTTTTCGCTTGTTTCCATGGTAGCTGCAAAAAGGACATGAGAAAATGATATTTACCAAACAGAAAATAAGACAATGAAAATAGAGCTTAGTTTTTTAACAAAGGGAATATGAGAGCACTGCAAA